TCGGCTTTCATCCCGTCTCATCTGACGGTGAGGAAGGAAGATAGTGCCCAAGGCACTCAAAAGATTCCAGACGAGGAACATTGTTCCTAAACTCGGTAACTTGATCCCGGACTCTGGATACAAACGCGAGGGCATATTTAAAACTCCAGACTCCCGCAGCTGCTCATTAGAAAGGAGGTCCTCTGTGGATAGATGGTGGGTGATTCTTTCTTCATCATTATCTACATTGAAAGACTATGCGCATCATTTTATTATTTGTCAGATGATCGCATCCATGTCAGTGTCTGAGATACCATATGTGTGCGCCGATACCGCCGGCCCGAGCAGCACGGGTGTGAACGGCGCCGGACCATTTACACGCAGATTATTTTTTCCAATAAAGGCAGTGAGTGCCGGACCATTTACACGCAGATTATTTTTTCCAATAAAGGCAGTGAGTGTACTTTCTCTCCCTTATGGTTTTCCTAATAACACTTCCTTTGCCCTCGCTTCCTTCGTGGTAGGGATGCAGTCTGTGAGTCACATCACATACAAAATGTGTTCATCGACCGTTTATGCTGCTGGCAAGGCCTCTGGCATTACAGGCTGTGAGTGGTTAAGTTTGGGGGGAGTCAAATGTTACATGAGGATTTGTGACTGTGTGTGTGTGGGGGGGTGAGTACCCCTAACGCGTGGGCTGTTCAAAGGTCCACTGTAGTTTCAATCTTTATGTCTGTGGCCTAAACCCCATCTCTGGGCTCCAATCACAGACGTGGTGTCTCCACGTCTCATAGGTGTCAGCAACTTAAAAATCTAAAATGGAAATATTTTTTTAAAATTTTTATTATTTTTATTTATTTTTTATTGATGTCAGAGAGGAAGGGAGAGGGGGAGATAGATAGAAACATCAATGATGAGAGAGAATCGTTGATCGGCTGCCTCCTTCGGATCGAGCCCACAGACCAGGCATGTGCCCTGACGTGGAATCGAACCGTATCCTCCTGGTTCATAGGTCAAGGCTCAGCCACGGAGCCACGCCGGCCGGGCTGAAATGGAAATCTTGAAATTGCATTCTTCCCACTCCTGTTCAAAAATGTTTAAAATGCTCTTTTCTGGCCCTGGCTGGTGCTCTCGCAGCGTGGGTGAGGAGGAGGCACCCGAGGACGTGGCCCCCCAGCCAAGGGGTTCCCCAGAGGACGGTCCCCTCACTGCCGCCCCCACGGCTGCCGCCGGAACCGGAAACCGCGATGCTGTTTCCAGATGAGGCCAACCCCTCACCAGGCTGGGAGCCGCGCCGTTAGTCCCGTGGGTCAGTTTCTGTTCAGGAAATCAAGTTTCATGACCTCGGAAGGTTGCCGGATGCCTTCGTCGCCCCCGGTCTGGTAAGATGAACCACGGCATGCGTCTCGTCATTGTAACCATCTCCACGCGCACAGTTCAGTGGCTGAAGAACCTTCTCGCCCCCGAGTCTTACCACCAGCCCGGAGCCTGGACGGCGAGCGTCCCTCCCGTCTCGCCCTCGGCCCCTGGCGGCCGCGGACCTGCTGCCGTCGCTGCGGGTTTGCCGATTTGGACATTTCCCGTGACGGACCCTACGGGTGTGGCCTCGTGTCCGGCCCCTTCACTTGGCATGTTTCTGGGGTCACCGTGTTGCCGCGGACCATTCTTCGTGCCTTTTCGGGCCGAACGACACTGCGCTGCGTGGAGGCGCCACGTGCTGCTCACCCGCGTCTGTGACGGCCTTTGGGGGAGCCCCACCTTCTGGCCGCCGGGAGCAGGGCCACTACGATCAGCCTGTGCACATGTTTTTAAAAAAATATATTTTATTGATTTTCTACATAGAGGAAGAGAGAGGGATAGTTAGAAACATCGATCAGCTGCCTCCTGCACACTCCCTACTGGGGATGTGCCCGCAACCAAGGTACATGCCCTTGACTGGAATCGAACCCGGGACCCTTCAGTCCGCAGGCCGACGCTCTATCCACTGAGCCAAACTGGCTAGTGCATGTGTACATGTTTAAAATGTGTTTTCATTGATTTCTTTAGAGAGAGGCAGGGAGAGGGAGAGAGAGGGAAGCATCTCAGTGGCTCCTCCTAGAGCAATGGTCGGCAAACCACGGCTCACGAGCCACATGCGGCTCTGTGGACCCTTGAGTGTGGCTCTTCCACAAAATACCACGTGCGGGCGCTCACATACAGTGCGATTGAAACTTTGTGGCTCATGCACAGAAGTCGGTATTTTGTAGAAGAGCCACCCCTCAAGGGGCCCAAAGAGCCACATGTGGCTCGTGAGCCCGTGGTTTGCCGAGCCGCAGTTTGCCAACCACTGTCCTAGGGGGTACAGTGCTGACCCCGGCAGAGAGGTCAAGGGGATGCAGGTGACCAGAACCTCAGGGCCAGGTGCGGGGCAGAGGACAGCCCTGGCCATCGGGGGACAGTCCCGGGGCCCCACCGCGCCCAGTGCCTCCTCCTCGCGGCCTCTCGCTGGCACTGCCGCTGAGGAGTGAGCCGGGAGGTGTGCTCTCTCCTAGGCCATGTCTCCTGGCAACTCCTCCCCCGCTGCAGGGGGACTGCTGTGCCCTTAGGTTTGCTCTCGACAAAGAACAGTCCATTGTCTCTTTTTTTAAATCCCCACCCGAGGGTATTTTCCCATTGATCTTTAGAGAGAGCGGAAGAGAGAGAGGGAGAGACAGAGAGAAGCATCGATGTGGAGAAACACATTGATTGGTCGCCTCCTGCACACGCCCTGACCAGGGCTGGGGCCAGGGAGGAACCTGCAATCAAGGTACGTGCCCTTGACTGGAATCGAACCCGGGACCCTTTGGTCCACAGGCTGAGCACTCCATTGTCTCAGGGGAGAAGAAGAGGTGCCCCCTTTACATTCAGACACACGACCATGAACTCATAATAACACACAAACCCCACAGTAACTCATTCCCATGGGCCACTGGGCTGAGTTATCTAAGTCAGCGTGTTGCTTACTCTTGTTCTGGAGACGGGGAGAGTGTGGGCTCAGAGAGGCCTCGGTCAGCGGTGTGACCTTGGGGTGACCTTGGGCCGGAGGCTCCGTGTCCTCTCCTAACCC